ATACACCGGTACCGGCGATGGTGAGGTTGCTGGGGCAGATGGGAAGCCGGAAGATGTCGGCCGAATGACGTGCTCCTCAGAACCCCGGCAACCGCCACACTGGCACCGGACTAGACCTCTCGTCTGGTATCTGTACCATCTGCACTTATGCCTTGGCCAGTCACCGAAACAGATGTAGCGCAGCAGAGGAACCTGTACAAACCTGGCCGGCTGGCAAGTCATCCCGGGAGGCAAGGAGCAGCTGACCGCGGGTCTGTCTGTGTAAAGACAACGGCCCCATTTGACCCATCGGGGCCAGAACTCTGGGCCGAGGTCCCTCCAAATGTAGTGAACTGGGCAACTGGTGAAGGTAGTCATCACTCGTGCCAGCCAATGGCGAAATCCCGTGCGAGTCAAAACGTCCAAATCGGAGAGCCCTTTAAGGCTGTCGCGATGCGCCGGGCTCAATCTGGCCTGATTTCTGTAACGTTGTTTACGACGCCGGCGCCAGCGCTGACGTAGGCCGGTTCGTAGACTCTGATGCGACGATTCGTCGACTTGACTGGCATTGTAGAGCCCCACATCGGCCTGAGTGATGGCTCGAAGGCGAGAGAAGACTTGTGCTATCAGTCGCGTCTCAGCCTCCCTACGGTTGGCCGGCTCGTGGGGTTCAGTCCAGCCTCCGGGCCGTCGATAGGCCTGCAACGGGGGATGGACCGAGGTGAAGTCGGTGTCAAGTCGGCCGGGCCAAAGCAGCTGTAGCATTCTGGTAACCGACAGTCTGGGGGTCGACTGGGACGCCATCTCAGACTCGATCAGGCGTCCGGGTTTTCCGACCGATTGGGCTAATTGTTCACCGATGCCCGGAGCAGTCACGATTGGGGAAAAAGTAAATTCCTTTGACGTCTCCAGTAGCCGGTCAAGGCTGGCCAATTCGTCTATCGCCACTTGGTCGGCCGAGTGGGAATTGTGCTGTTGAAACGCTTGCCAGCTCATCAGTGACAGGTTACTGCGCTCCGCAGGTGTTGCCCCTGGCGACGACTCGTCGGCATGGCCTCTTCGGCTGAAGTGGGACTCGGTGGCATCATTCAGAACCGCCCAAACAAGGGTCAACTTGAAGAAAAACTGGAGCCCAGCCAGTCTTACGCGTTCGGTGTACATTTTGGATGGAACATTAACCGATGTACGTCAGCCCAACCACCACAGTCATACAGAACTGTTTTCCATTTATGCATCGGTTGCCATGCCTCCTGTTTATCCCTTATATCCTCTTCTTAAAGCCTGTGACTGAGTCTAGCCATAAGGCTGGTTTGGGTCGTCTGCTTGTACGTATTGACGTCAGACCGGAAGCGTTTGGACAAGAAATCTTATTCGAGATTTCACTCTTGTCTAGCCTTTTCCTGGAGCAAGAAACAAAGAAAGAAAGAAAGAAAAGACAAATTCGAGTTGACAAAGGGGAAAAGATGAAAGGGCCTTTGTGAAGTCACGGTATGTACATCCCCGTAACCTCGCCTGAAGGAAGGGAGGGCTGCGGCAATGAGGGCCAGGCCTGACGCAAGAGCAGAGCTGACTTGAAGGCAGAAAACGGCTGGCGAGGGCAGAGGGCCTAGAGACGAATGGAGGTGAGGCAGAAGATGCGCAGACGGCAGATTTGGATGGGATTTTCAGCTTACCTCACAGAACTCGCCTATTGGTTAGACGATTGGGCGGACAATGAGCGCGGTGGCCAATCAGCTTCTTGTGATGACACCTGGTGCCTGACCTCATCGTTTGTCGCTATGCCGCTAAACATGTATAAAAGAATGCATGCATTGCACTCCACTCCCTAGCGAATGTTTGTCTTTTTTTCGTGCATGCGTATGGTTTAGTGTTGCGCCTAGTTCACGTAATTGCAGGTCTTCAAAGTGGACCTTATCAAGCTTGCCTATTGTGTCCGTACATGGAAGGTATCAAAATCTGGGTCGCATAAGGTGATGCACGAAATATAATTGAATTTTACCACAATGACAGACGTAGGCCTCACATTTCCATTAATTTTCACCTAGCCTTGCCTTCTGAGAGACATTCTCCTCCAGGCTAAACTCGACTGCAGATTCGACATCGTCTCTGTATTATAAGCCCTCCCAGCGGGTCTCGAACCCAAGTAACGTCGCGAATAATCTTGACACGACTGACCCTGGATCACAGGGCAGACGTGGACTTCAAAGTTAGCCAGGTCTTTTCCATATCACATTTGGTAATTGGATTGTCGATCAGGCAAGCTTGTGCTTTGCCATCACAATTGACTATATCACTTGTATGAGATGTGTTCACCCTATTTCATTTAAGGTGATAAAGGAGTAGTAGTTGAATTTCCCATAATCATACGAGTAGATTTTACAGTTCCATTGATTTTCACATATCCTTCTTTCTCATAAGGCTGGAGTGGACTGTAGCTTCGATCTAGCCTAGGTTTTATCAACACCCCCAGCGGGACTCGAACCATAACTGTGCAGCGAATAATCTCCACACATTGACCACTGCTCTTGAGTCACAGGGCAGATGTGAATTTCAATAAAAGCCAAGCATTTACCCACAATACATTCTGTGGTGGGATTGTTGGTGAATCAATGCTATATTTACTTATTTTTCGCTTGTAATTAGAGTTTCGACATTTATTGATAATATCTAATGTGGTTGATGTGCCTAAATTATACGTTGTACTCTCTTTGTTCGAGTTCCGCTGGGGTTGCTAATGACACCTAAGCGAGGTCGAAACTGCAGTCCACTCCACTCAGGATGAAAATACCTTATAGGAAACAAGAATATGTGAAATTCAATGGATTGTGAGAAAATTCAGTTACTAGTTCTTCATCACCTTAAACGAAATAGGGAAAGCACATTTCATATAAATGATTTACTAGTAGTCTCGAGACACTACTTACCAATGAAAAATGGATTACTTATATCCATATGAATTAGGTTTTGAAGCTATCGGTAAAGCTTCAATGGACTTCCGGTCACCATTGATTGCTTATTGTGTCCAGTTGATGAATGGTGGCTAATGACCTACAACTTGCCGCGTCTACTGACTCTCAGATGTGCCTTATTAACAGTACTGAAGAGGAACTTGAAGGTAGCATCGATAATCGAAATACTTTCATGAGACTGATGTTTGCCTCGGTCTCTTTGGTGACCCGAGGTGTGGCATTTGATTTAACCTAGATGAAATTAGGCCGCTTAGCCTTGCCACTTTTCATTGAAGATGAACTACTTTCTCAGACTGGCCAGGGTCTCCTCTTCGTGACAGGGTCATACGTGCCATACAACAACTCGTTACTCTTGGGCCCCACAACCTGAGTGCCATTACGTCATAGAGCAAGTGTGACCTTTAAGTTAGACCAAGCTTCCGTTTATGCACATTTATCCTAATGACAGGTTTCGATAAGGCAACTAGTATTTATGTGTATATAAAAATTGGTTGCATAAGAATAGCTTACTGACGTCATGTGATTCGACTTTCCTCCAGAAGAAAAAGTTCTTTAAAAAGAATTCGTGAATTGGCGTCACCACAAACCGACGGAGGATTTTCCGTTTATAATTAGGTTATCAAGGCTACAAATAGATCTTATATAAGAGCTGTATACATCTCTTACGAACGAGGATTGCCTTGGATTGTGCAAAGAAATCATCTATAAACCCGTGCTGAGCTTCCGTTTGTCACTTCATGACAGACATCGTCACAGGGAGAATGCATATTTTATGAAAAACCGTACCAATGTAATAGACTGAGAGAAAAGGTGGACAGCTAGGAAGCTACCCATTTTGTATGCCTATTTCGCCATATTGTTGAGTCATATACAACAACATTATAACTTTATATGATCATTTGCTAGTTTATTTATGTAATGTAACAACTGCGACCACATTAATATCCTTTTTGTGCATCAGTTTCTCCCATCTGTGCACACTTAGGTTAAGCATGAAGTGAACAACAAATTCACAGGCTGCATCATTATGATCGAAAAAATTCGGTATGAGTGGTGAGTAGTTTTGCAGCCGATCATTTTTTCGCTTAGTTTAGACGTTAAAGCAGTTTTCGTAAAGGATGCTTTCTCGATCTGACGATGTCTGTGACGGTTTGACAGACAAAACTCAGCACGGGATCATCTGGGTTGCATGACGATGAGGTGAGAATTTCATCGCACATTTTAACAGTATTCACCTTAAGGCAGTCCTCCTTCGGTTTCTGGCGGGGTCAATTCACAAATTTCATCCAACAGACTTTTGCTTCCAAATAAAAAGTCGAGTCAAACCAACTCGTACTTTCATATTCTGAAGATACCTCGTGAACCTCGACACACTGCTACCTGAGGTTAGTGCTTGAATTGCAACCTCTTGGTTCTTGAGACTTACGACCCATTTTCAGAATCTTGCCTGGGGGCGCTGATATTACCCACTTTGGCCTGGACTAAAAATGTAGTGTGGGTGAGAAAGGCTGTTGGAAAGCCATTCTATGTAAAATTAAAAGACGAAATAAAGTCTACTTCCGAACTTTCCAGACTCATCACTTTTGGCAACTTGTTCCAAGTACCAGAGGGACACCAAAGGACGTCAAAGGATGTCAACGGACGTCTGGTCAGACGCTAAAAATTAGCATGATTACTATGCCTGCAGGCGTCGGACAAGGCAGGTTCTTCAAGGACCTCATGACGACACGACCAACTCACGATAACGAGGTCAGATCAAGTCTACAAGACTGCGACTAAATATGAGGATATAACATCTTGTTGATAATATCCTTAAATAAAAGTTTAAATCACCTTAAACCGCTTAAGATGATGAAGGATTGATAGTGAATATATCCAAAATTCGAGGAATACGCCTCATGATGCCATTGAATTTCACTTAGCCTTGCTTCCCACAAATATATATTCTCATCCAGGATAGACTATAGTTACGACCTGACCTGCACCCTCAGTGAAACCGAATCCGGATAGAGTAGTGTATAATTTCGATCGGTTGCCACCATGCTAACCTGTTACAAGGTTCTCTCGGTCACAGAGCTCAAGTTTATTTCAAAGCAGGATAGGCCTCTCCCATATTATATTTTATAGTGGGATTGTCGCTGAAGCAGACATGTATTTTCCCTCGAAGTCGACAACATTACTTGCATCCAAATTAAGTAGACAGAGAATTAAGCAAATAACCTACCCAGGACGAAGATAGTGACTCGGAAATTTTCGATTTCACGTGTAGTCTCATGTTGCAGAGGTGCAAGGAAAACACATTTTGCTCGCTCCCATAACGATTTTTTGGATAGGAAATGCTGCATTCATATAACTCTCTCACGACCCCACTCCTTCGGCCAGGAAAGAACTGTCTACCTCCGGCAAATGTGTAACTTTCTTAATAAATTTGGTTACAATTAGATGGGAATTTGTTGAGGCGGACCTGTTAATTAAATGGAAGGGAATAAGCGTCGGTAAATTAGACAGACCTGAATGCCGAATAGTACCATTGACAGACATCTCATTTAGTCTGTAGCTTGAAATTTATACTTTTTTCCGCTAAAGAAGATTGTGGCATTTGACAATTGAAAAACCGTCAGGGATATGCATAAAACGCATGTTTAATGTGTCCCTCATTTTGTTTTCCAACGCTAACAATCCGAACTGATAGGTTTACTATACAAACATTTTCATTTCCTATTTG